AATAATAATAATAATAATAATAATAATAATAATAATAATAATAATAATAATAATAATAATAATAATAATAATAATAATAATAATAATAATAATAATAATAATAATAATAATAATAATAATAATAATAATAATAATAAATAATAATAATAATAATAATAATAATAATAATAATAATAATAATAATAATAATAATAATAATAATAATAATAATAATAATAATAATAATAATAATAATAATAATAATAATAATAATAATAATAATAATAATAATAATAATAATAACAGCAGTGACATCAACAACAAATAAACAAACAAACAAACAAACAAAATATTACTGGCAGAAATGAAAGAAACTTGTCAAACAATTCGTTCAACTTTGATAAAACTTTTCCATTTGTACAATCCATTAATAGCAAATGTTCCTCACTTATCTGTTATTGTTAAAAATAGTTAAGTAAAGTCTTGGTGAGTTAAGAAAATGAAAATTAATGAAGCCTCTTAATTCAATCTCAATTTTTTTTTTCGCTTGTTTTTCAAAATGTGATAGTTTGAAAATGGTTAAACTAAATGGCCAAAATCCAGAATGAAATTTTAATAAACTACAATTATCGATGCAAAAAAAAAAAAAAAAGGAAAAGAAAAAGATAAGGAAGATGGGAATGATTAAAACTTTTGTGCAATTTTAGAAAAGATAATTTTAGTTGGAATGAACGAACGTTACACCTATTATCATATTTCATATATTTGTGATAATAATTACTGATAATATCTGAATGGAAGATTATCCGTTGAATTGTCAGAATATTTGAAAAATTTTGAAACTGATATCAAATGTATATGGTAAGAGGATATTTATATTCATTTCATCCAATGATATTTAGTGAAATTTCGTATAACCAGTAAATGAAAATGATATCATCTAAATTAATTTCTGCTTTTTTTTTCCCCCCCCCCTCAGATTTTTGCTATCTGCAATTACATTAATGACAATATATTAGTAGGATCATTTCACTAATGGATCAAATTGTTTGCGGCATATTCTTATTTTTCATTTTTATTTCAATCCTTTAAATTATATCACTTACTATCAAAATGATAGCAATTCATACTTTTCCTTATTTATATGTACATAGTGTTTCGCATTTTTTTATTTTTTGAGAATTCTTTTCAAAAAAAGTAGTTGACAACTTTGGTTAAAATTTAAACTTAATTAGATGATATGTTAATTACTATAAAATAAGTGTGTTGAAAATTTTTTTGAAGAAAAAAAAACTTTATTTAATATATTATTATTGGTAAAGCATAATAATCCTCATTGATACATGTGGAAAAATGGAAAAAAAAAAAAAAATCCAAGATTAACACTTAGGGATTTAAAAGATACTTTTTTTTCATCACATTAATTAGTCAAGTATTCGTATATTGACTTAATTAATTAAAAACTATTACATCATCTCATCCTTCATTTTTCTTCATTTTACAAATTATTTTTATTGGTTTTAACAATTTAAAATGCCCACTTCATCCACCTAAATATTTTAAATTCCTCAATTAGAGTAAGATTTAATATCATCGATAATATTATTAAACAATATCATTATCATGTCTTACCAGTTTTTTTTTCTTTTTTTTGAAAGAACTATTAGTAAAATTCAAAAATACTTATTGAAAATTATTCCCCGATGATAGCAAAATTTTTTTTCAAAATATGAAAAGATAATACGTAGTCGTATATATTCAAAATGTTTCGCTTTTTTTAAACTAATAAGGAATCGATTTTTTTTTTCTTTTTTAAACTAATGGAAATGTAATCGGAGGAATGATAATGATGAAATCATCTTCTCAAAAGCATATTTTAATTAAATGAAACTATTTAATGAATTAAATCAAATCTTGTCTACAGTCCTCAAATCAATTCTGCTACATTATTAATTCAGCCAATTCAATTCAACAGATTGTTAAATGGAGAATTACCAAATATTTCTTAAATCAATCACTAAAATTAATCAACAAACATGAAATAAAATCAGTGGTATTTTTTTATTCATCAATTTAACTGAGCATTAATTTAGCTAATTGCAACTATCCCCAGATAATTTGATAATTTTAATCACTATAGATGAACAGGATAAATGATATTTGCTGATATTTTTTGCCACCAAGCAAATAAGGACGAAAAAAAAGTGAAAAAAAAAGACCAATTTTGTAAATGTAATAGAAACATTCCAAAATTTATGCATCAACTAACAATCAAGAAAAAAAAACATTTTTATTACATTTTATCCTTCAATTACAGCATAATTTTGTCAAATAAAACCATTCATCTTTTCTTTTTTTTTTTTGTCATTTTCTTTCAAGTAAATAATTTTTGTAGCATATTTTTAAAATTTAATTTCTAACATATATTTAAAATTTAATTATTAACCAAACAATAAAGCGTTTAGCTTTACTGCTCAAATTATTTGATAGACGATAACAATAATAACAATACTTTGATATAATAAGAATAATTATTGCTTCCTCCATATAATTGCTAATCTTTTGCATTATATTTGGATAAGTATGTTTACGTTGATCATTAATGAAAATAATATTTTCATTGTTTCCAATAGGCGAATATTATGCTTTCAAACATCCGCAAAGCAATCAGTTTCCCCACATAATGACAAAATGGACGAATAGCATGATAACAATATTCAAATCCTTGTAGTACTAGCATATGTATACGGTGTAATTAACATTAGGAGTTTTGATTAACCCGCATTTACACATATCCTTTACGTGAGTGATTCCCACTCCTGACTAGGGATTCATTATGGCTTTTTCATTTGTAGCAGGGACCTATAAAGTTGAAAAATAGCAAATCCTACCAATTTGAGGGTAAAATTTTGACCAAAACTTTGGATGTGTTATTAGTTTATCAAATACTGATAAGAACAGCCCCCCCGCCTGTTTTCTATTTACCATGCCGACACTACTCGTGGATCACCAGTTGAGAACCACTACTTTACATCCACATTTTGCATGCATATATGTACATTTTATAATTCCATATATAAACCGTTTTTAAACTGTTTAAATACATTATTTGCATTCCCTGGACGTTTTTATTCGTAGTAAAATAGCTAAAATAGGAAAAACCTATTTACCACCGAAAAAATTAATTTAAATGATGTTGCAATTAACATTTCACTTTTGATGTAATGATGAGAACAGTTTCGGACGTTAAGGTACGAGTATGAAAACAGAATATAGTGACCAAGGAAACAACCCACAGTTGACCTGAATCCAATCAATTGAATAATATGCAAAACCAATTTATCGAGGAAGGAAAAAAAACTACAGGAGAGTGGCGCCGTTTCCTGGAAACGTTATAGCTCGCCTCAAAATCCAACTTTCGAGCCGCCTTCGTATCTACATTATAGCACTGAATTTAATAAAATGTTTTAGAAATTAAATTTAGACGATCTCACGCCGTTAAATCTAAATTATACATTCGTATTTTTGATGTTTCCCGTGTCCTAATTTTTCCTCCCGACATTTAAAAACACTTCTTTCTTTCCTTTCAATTGAAAGTGCTCAATCAGTGTCCAGTATCAAACTAACATGGTATATGACTCCTCCTGACAGTGGAATATTTTAAAAACCTTTCAGCTCCCTTCTCTCCCTCCTTGGAGCCTTATTTTTGTGAGTTACCGAATGTAAGATACAAGACTAAAATGCAAGATAAGGCGAGAAATATAGAATATAACAACAATACAATAAAACGCGATTATTACAATTTGAATGTTGAAATTTCACAAGTTAATGAATGATTTCCTCCACAGCTTAGAAAAAGTTAATTATAAATATGAATGAGCAAAAAATAGCAAAGGACAAAACTGATGAAACAGGCAGTACCGTATAAAAAACATCATTATGCATACGGTGGATGAACCGTAAGAAAATCGAATAAGAAATAATGTCGATAAATTACTGATAAACCGATACAACCTCCTGATTCAAAGAAAATCAGCCCGTTTTATCTTTTAACAGAAACAGTCTTGCTCTGAGTAACTGAAAATAGATCATTTTTATTTGCAAATTAAGATAGCGATAACATAGATGAAATTTCGTTGTAATATTTTAATCCCATCAAGCCTTACGGTCCGAATGACCGGACACTATGCAAATTTCTTCTAAGATTCCCTGAATATATCCTCTTCAGACTACAACAGCAGTTATGCAGTGAATGTTACACATCGTGGTAGAATATGTCGGTTGGGTCAAAATTTCAAATTATACCTCTGAAATCAACCACAGTATTTGAAATTATTTTAACCACATTTTAGCAGAAAGTAGCTTACAGATGAGAAGAACTTATAGATGAAACAGGAAGTATTTGGTCCAATATCGAAAAAGTGTACATCCGTTGGTTTTGCCGTCTTTCGCTTGGTTCGGGAATGTAAAGACATTTTTGGATTTGTAATGAAATCGTACATCATGTAAATCCAACTTGAATGCACCATGTAACCTTTGTAATACTCCGGAGCTAAGGCTCTAATCTGTAAATTCATGTATTTAAAAAGAAAAAAAAAAACTGATCTCGATAATAAAATGAACCTCTAAACAAGTATTCTGATCTCTGAAAACAAAACATATACACAAAAAAAAGATAAGGAACAACGAACCTTCGGAAGGTTACTGCCACATACATATGGGAAATCATGATGTTCAATATGATAACCAACGTTAAATGTTACTAAGTTTATCGGTCCATAATAACTAAAGAATACAGTACTGAATAACACCCATACTAACAGATGAACAAAAGATACAGGAAGCGGATATACCGAGCAAAGGATGACCATGAAAAGCAAGGAATGAAAAAGGATTGCAAGACTGAACAAATATCGCTTGAACAAAAAAAAAAAGGACCCTTTTTCTTGTACAAAAGCGATATTTGCTAGTTACTAATGAAAATTCCCATATTATTTTTCTCATTGACCACAAAAATTATTACATTTGACTTACCTGTATGTTTCCTGTCCAGGATTGAAAACATAGTGATCAGAAATATAATGACTAGCAAGTGGATGAATACCCGATCCAACGAAAAACCCGCCCAACAGATATGCAAAAGCTTTCCAACCGAAAAAACTGATAACGATATAATCAGTGTAAATTTGAAGTAGAGCATTTAGGATTTCTAAATCTGTGATGGCCTGAAAATTTGAAAGTTTGAACAAAGAAGTGAAACAATGCTGATACTAATAGCAAAATAATGACGAAATAATAGTAATAAACAAATTCGCTGAGGCATATGTAACTGGTTCTCAAGATAAATATATATATATATATATATATCACTTTGCTCTTTCCATCAAACACCGAATAGTATTCGTAAGACGAAAGATCTAAAACCATGTCTGACGAACTTTTGGATAAATAAGAAATGGTCTTGAAGCATAGAAGAACGGCTGGAGAAAGACCCATAACAATTTCCCCAAAGTACGGCGGAAGTATCGTGCTTCAAAATTCGTCGGTATATCAGTATCCAATACGTCTTCACCTGAAAAACTGAACTGTTCCAAAAATAACGCTTTTTCGGTTATACAAAAATCTGAAGAATTTGTATTTGAAACTTTGTATTTAGAAGTACAATTAAAATACAAATGTAAATATTCCACGATGCTATTATAAAAAGTATCACCCATGTAGCGATGGTGCTCCAAATGATACTTCTTAAAGGAAACCGACATAGGTACCATCATCGGTAGATTAGCAATACATCCAAACAAGCGGTTCTTAAATAATCGGCATAATTTAAAAACTTGAAAATAGTCTGGAATAGAATCAGTAAGTTTCATTATTCTACCAGTTGCCAACCTTGAGTTACTTCTCAGTTCTTGCCAAGAACGAAGGTTCCCGCGAAATATGTCTTATCGTTTGTCATATAGCACGAAAGTGATACCACAAGAGACGGAAAGCTATGTCTGCTAAGCCAACCATATTCTCTTCAAACCACTGCATGTATTTCTTTCCCCTCTTTGTCCTCCTTTCTTCATTACCCTCATTGAAATATTATAAAAATTTTATAACGTAACAGATCATTCCCTTACAAAGATTCAGCGGAAAGACTGCGATTACTTTCTTTTTCACATTCTATTTTAATATGTACTCTTTGCGGTTCTAGATTAAGAACTAGGTAACTAAGACTCATTACAGACCAGTAAAAAATTGTACACTCTAAACTCAACTAAATCACCTGAACAAAAAATTTCCACGTCACAGTTGCTTTTTCTGTAGCAAAAGCAAAATGAAACAAACCGCAAGGGGTTGAGCACAACCGAATGCCATATTATGGGATATTTCATGAACGGCTAATGTAAGTGAATGTCCAATGGTACCACCAGTAAAATATGCTTGCAAACAAATTAATAACCAATCCGAATCTGTGAAAAGTTGACACGTCTTTCACGAACAAAGCGTAAATGAACTATATGGAATATTTGTAAGGCCCTAACAATCTGTATAGCAATACGTTATATTTTTAAATACGAGTGTGAAAGTTCTGAAATATTATCACTTTTCTGACGTATTTAGATCTCACATTTGCTGCTTGCTGTTCTGCTCAGTGATCTACCTTCTGTACATACAGGAGAAGTGAATTTCTAGCATCCTGGGATATGCCTCACAAGCCATCAAATATTAAAATGAAGCATAACACCTTAAAACTACATCACTTTATCAAATTATAGTCGACAACGTATTCATAACAACTCTAATTCGGATTTCTTATAAATGTAAGAGGGCAACTGGTTATATCCTTTCTTATCATCTGATAAAAACTTGCGAATAATCATCTCATTTGAATCATTTTCGAATTAAAATTAGATGAAATTGATCTAATTATAAATATACCTCGCAAAAGCCAAGCAATGCTGAACTGTGCGAAAACCATCGCTACGACGACATACTTGAATGACGGATCGATACCGAAATATTTTTTGATTTCCGGATACTTCTGGATTATCTCATTTCGTCTGAAGGAATTTGTAGAGGTATCACATCGTCTTGGAAAATACTCAAAACTATTCGTACGTTTTCGTCCACAGCCCAGCTTCAGATTTAATTTTAAACCAAAATTTCAAATCAACAGACTCACCTGCTTGCATGTGGTTCCTCCGTATAAGACCAACTAAAATCTTCCAAATCAGCCCCATGCATCACCAATAACTCGCCTTCGATGAGATCTTCAAAACTATCTTTAAAAGTAACTTTTTCTTTTAAATAAGGTGCATCGAACACAAATAACGACATCAAATAACTGCCTATATTAACATCGTCCTCAATCCCCAATCCACATTCCTCCGATTTTATTACGCCGATTCTGCTACACAGCTAGCATTATTCTGATTTTAAAATCTGATAAATCCATCGAATTTCAAAATTATGTAATATCGAGCAGTCCATGATATTTTGTAAAACCACAATGTGAAGTTGAAACTTTTGAAGCAGAAATTTTGGCCTCCTGTCCAATCCCTTAAACGTTTAAACTGTTAATTTTAGATGAGCCATCTTTTGGTAACAATCCTCTAGCAAAGTACGACACTTGACTCATTCCACTGTACTTCTACGTAGGTTGGCAATCAATTGAAAGCATCACATTTTATCATTGCAGTATTTCCTTCGAGGATGCGACCAACAATTATCTAA